GGAGAGAGATGACTTCGAACCCGAAGAACCCTCCCAGGTTCAGGCCGGTCCATGGGCTTCGAAGTCCAGTAATCCTTTTGACGAAGATTGGGTGCCCCTGTATGAACCGTTACTTCAACAGGAGAAGTTTATCCCCAACCTGATTGACGTTTCTATCCCGTTACCACAGTTAAATAAAGAAGACAAATTGTTTTGTTCAAATGCGTCTGCGGCTTTATTTGGGATGGGGGAGGCGAGGAATAGCGGACCCTCACAATTATACACAGCCTTTTCACAGAATCAGACCTCATTCCAACACACACAACTCACTAACAGCTCATTCTGAGTCACACACTTTCTCCCTCTCTCATTTTCTAATAAAAATTCTCCCTCCCTCCTGCACACATATTCCTTATGTAGAAGTAGAATTTCACCAGCCAAGAAGCATCTCACAGCTCCATTCATAAACTTTTTTTTGCACTCCTCAACTGTCATAACAGTCACTCCTGGTGCACATCCCCCACAGCTGTCAATCAATGCAGACACTTATCATAGAAGTAAATACAAAACTATAAATACAAAGCACATATGCAATGCAAAATTGACACAGAGAAGCTATTTGGCAATTGGGCAAAATCCTGGAATAATTACTGTACGTCTTTAATAAAGTTCTTACAGTGAATACTGATTAAAACTGAAACTTGCAAATTTATTGCGTTTCATGTGTAAGAATTTTACAAAAACAGATGGCAAAGCTTCTTCAGTAAGGTCTATTTACCCAACCAACATGTTGTGTAGAGCTAACAGTTGTTTCTAATGAAATATTAGTGGAAGAACAACAGTCTGCTTTCACATGCCTCCTTTTTCAGACCAAATCTACCTCATGTCACACAAATCTGGTGTTCATTTTTTGCTGTAAATATTTATACCAAAAATGTTGACTCATGAAATTGATCTTGCAAAACAGCAGACATGTGGCCTATATTCTGGTTTATTTTTCCTTGTAGACATCATTTTGTGTTAATCCATGCAATCTCTTAGGCTGCTATTGCAGATACTAAACTGTTACAATGCAGTCAGCCAGAGAGGAGTTTTCCAAATCAAATTGTTAATTTTATGTAGACTTGGCAGCCTGTGGTTTTTCTAACTGACTCATGAAGCCTTATGTCACTTACAGACGTCTGTGTTATATTAGCTTCAGCTGCTTACTATATACTCCATGGGAATTATATGAGAGAACTGGGGTGAGGGTGGGGGAGAGAAGTATCATACTGAAGCAGCCTCTAAGCACCAACTGCACCTTCTAAATATATATAAAGGACATTTATTGATCTTGTTATGTTTGTGATGGGGGAGAGAGAGAGAGAAATGTGGAAGTGTCCATAACTGGGCATGATAGCGGATCTGGAAAGTGTTTATTCACTAGGTCAGGTCAAACAGAGGTGTTATAATAGATAAAACATTAGTCTAAACAGCCTAACAAAGATGTAGTTGCTTTTCAGTCAATGTGTTATTTAAGCATTTATTTATTTACATTATTTATATACCACCTTTCTTCCCATAGGGGACCCAAGGTGGCTTGCAACAGATAAAATAATAGACTTAAAAATACCATTAAAATATCATATTTAAAAAACAATTAAATATATATTAAGATTTTTTTAAAAAACTATAAAAACAATTCAAAAACATTTAAAAATCTGTAAGTTAAAACCAGCATTCCTTAGATAATTTACTGCTTAAAAGCCTGTCTGAAGAGGGAGATATTTGCCTGATGACAGAAGGACAAGAGGGAGGGGACCAATCTGGTATCTTGGGGCACTGTATTCCAAAGCTTGGGAGCAGCAACTGAGAAGGCCTTCCTTTGTTTCCTCACCAAATAAGCTTAGGAAGGCATTTGAAGACAAGAGAAGGGCTTCCCCAGAAGATCTTAAAAGCTAAAATGGGGGTGATGTGACCCTTCAAATAGCCTGGACCCAAGTCATATAGAAATTTATAGGTAATAATCAGTACTTTGAATTGGGCCTGGAAACAGAGTGACAGCCAGTGAAGCTGTTGTAATAATCATGCTCCCTATGACCAGTGATAGACAGCAGTCTGGCTGCAGCATTTATCAGCTGAAGTTGCCCGCATATGCTCAGTTGTTACTTTGGAACGTTCCACTTGGAGCTATAAAAGAGTAAACTCTTTCATTATTCAGCAAGATTCACCAGTGCAATTTTTTATGTTTAAAGAAATTCCAAAATTTCAAGTTACACTGCCGGTGCTTGCGGCCGGAATACGGCCGGGACACGTCACAATGGTAGGGGGGAGGGAAGGAAGGAAGGAAGGAAGGAGCGGGAGGGGAGGGGGGCTGCGTGACTGCATTGTGCCATCCCCGTCAATAGGTGGCCCCCCTCCCGGCCCCATAAAGCTACCGGAGTCAAAGCTGGCAGCCTCTGCTGTCTGAGATTGCATCTGCCGGTAAGCACGCTTGGAGCAGGGCTGCGGAAGATTGCTAGGGCTGCTCCCCATACGGCCCAAACCAAATTTATATGCGGCCCAAACCAAATTTTCATCTTCTAATGTGGCCCAGGGAAAGTGAAAGGTTGGACACCCCTGATCTAGATAGTCTGTGTATATGTTAGTGGCCACCTTGCTTTCAAAAATGATAAAGTTTATACAGTAGTTATATTACTAAGATTCACTCCGTGTTCTTTTTTGTGACCCCTAACCAGTGAACTAAAGGGCCGTTATATTACTAAGATTCACTCTGTGTTCTTTTTTGTGGCCCCCAACCAGTGAACTAAAGGGCCTTCCTCCACAATGTAATATTCTACTTCTTAATCATATTCCATAGGGCAGCCGGTATAATCTGTTCTTCTCAACCAAAACCCACAATGGTTTAGAAATAAACTTGAGATGGTATTTTCCCCATTTATGTACTGCCTTTAGGATGTTTCACATAATGTTAGATGTAACTAATAGGTCTGAAGTTAATTAGTAATTAGAAACACATATTCACAAAGCACAGAGAAGTGATATTTAAAATGTATTTCTCTACAGCACCTGTTGCAGCATCTTCAGTCCATTTATGACCTTTACTTTCCCCCATTCTGAGGCATGCCGTTGAATTATATTGCATCATTGCTATTACAGCTTTCCCATTCTCCCCACAAGAGGTCAGGGTTGTGTTATTCCAATATATCATTTCCATAGCTATAAGATTCAATTGTCATCATAGCACATTTGTGTTTTCAATGTCTTGGATGACTCAAATTGCATTCCCAATTCACAGGGCAGATCTGCTTGGATATGTGCATAATCCTTACTAATATTGTATGGCTGATTCATTAGCATCCCAATTTATAGTTAAGTAGAAGTATATCAGTCTGAAAAGGGCATGTTTCTTATTGCTATTGTCTTCCATCCATTCTTCAGCTGCTCAATCTCTGAGGTGTATGATGTCAAAAACAAAGTTATGTTCAGGCAAAGCATATATTAGCTGTAATTATTTTGATGTATCATACAACAGATAGACAAGGTTCCCAAACTTTCTTATGGATTCATGACTTTTTTGAAACAGAAATAATTGCATTGTTTATTGACCTGAAAAACACAGTATTAAATGAACTTTTTAAGCACACATATTTAAACTGCACTCTAAAGCATATTGGAATACTGCAAATCAAACTGTTAGTCCCATGTAAAGTAGACCTACTGAATTAATGGAACATCTTAAGTCAACACTGTGTAAGTCCCACGGATTTAATGAGTCTATTATATAGTTGAGACTAACAATTCATTTTAGCCATTTCATTTTTGGCACTTAAACAACTGAAATGCATAAGAAGAGAAACAGGATTTTTATCAGGTACAATGAAAACCCAATAAATTTAAGGAGTTTAAAAAGAAATTGGTTATTTTCTTCTTTCCAGTAAAGCTGGAGTTATGATAAATACATGTCTCAATAAGAAAAATAAATGGAACCATTTCTTTTCATATGAGATTATAAATTACTAATCAATTCTTAGGTATAGACACATTTATCTTTATCCATAACTATAGTTTCCTTGAACCTTCAAGGCTAATTTTAAATGTTCATTAAGCTGAGGGTAAAAACAAGAATTAAATTATACTTATTTGTACAAATATATCATAAATCATGCATAGAAAGAAGTCTGAAAAAAAGACCAAACTGTAGATAATATGTCCTACATGTTATAATTGCTTGGTGACATATTCCAAATTCCCCAAGGACAGAAATGTCAATATGAGTACTATTTCTAAGGTAATTCAGATGGAATTAATACTTACAGACGCTTCAGTTCTGAAAGTCCAAAGAAGGCCCCAGGCTCAATAGTACTAATCAAGTTATTCTTCAGATCTCTGGAGATACACAATAGCAAGAGCAATTAATTATCAGTTTATGTACAACTTTTAGTCTCATACATAGGTAGGGCAGGGAGAGACAGATCTAGGTTTGCAAATGCTTTAGCATTTTTGAAGCTAAAAAATAAGGGAGTTCAAGTAAAGAAGGAGATAATATTTTTGGCTTAAGCAACATTTTCTTTGTCTCAGAAAATGTGAGGACAAACAGCGAGAAAGGGGATATAATAAATATAGCAAGTTGTTGTTGTAATCACCATCATTGTCATAGTCGTCATAATCGTCATCATCATAACTTTGTTTCCTGCCACATGCTCTTCTTAAATCAGAAACCATATTGGAAGTCTTACTGGCCATAAAGAAAATGCATTATTAAAATATTCCATAAATGAGAGGGAAATAAGGACGGAAATGTGTTTACTGATCATGATCATACAGAACATTAAATGTGTTTACTGATCATGACCATACAGAACAACTTATAGTGTACTCCCCCATGTATTATTCAGAAATAAGTCTGAATCACTCACTCACCAGGAACTGATAGTAACTTCTGTTTCACTTCATTCTAACATACTGTGAGTATGCAGACAGAGTACTTTTGCACACAGAGTATTGCACACAGAGATGGCAGAATTGTATATATCTGAGCAGTTTTGCAGAGCTATAGAAATATGTGTTCTCTTTGATCACCAGGAGCCATAAAGACCTAAGAATATTTCAGTAGCATTAATCTTTATAAGAAGGCTCCAGGAGAGATATTTATATAGTGTCCATTAACGTTTTCTTTTCTTTTTTTAATTTAACAAGGGGTGACAAAAAGGAAAAGGGGTATTGAGGTTAAATGGGAAGAGGAGAAACAATAACATACTAACGTCCATTCTATACATATTGCCACATCAAAATTCCAAATTATTCTTTTTACTATTTTTCCATTAACGTTTTCCATTGCCCAAACAGGAACGACAAAGCAGGAGTAAACTGGACGTAGGTCTTTATTGGTATAACTCTAGATACTGCAAAATGTGAAGCTAAAACATATATTTGGGAAAACAAAACAGACAGAGCCAATCTACTGTATAGTGCTGGTTATGTGTCTACCAGATACATGATTGCCTACAACTCTCTTATATATAGTGATACAAAAGAAGGAAGAAAGGAAAATGTCATTTATTTATGAAATCTTATTTTCATACCACATTAAAATGGCTATGCTGTAAACCTCAGTATAGGCACGTCTTGCCAGATGTCATCCAGGACTTTTTGTAACTATATTCAACTCACTGTCCCAGCTAGACTCAATCAACTGAATGGATGAGTGATTAAATCTAATAAATTAGTGGATATATTTTGGTTTGGAATATCAGTTGGATTACCTTTTGGTCCTCCACTGCACAAAGAGGAGAGAATTCTGTAACTAGAATAGACCCACTGAAATTAATGGGATTTGTTAGTAAACACTAATGTAAATCCTATTGATTTTGATTAGAGTGAATTTTCGATTGACTAAAATTGGATTTAGCCTCTGGAGTCTTCCCTATTACATCAGGTAGTAGTCAGAGTTGACAGCACTGAGTCATGGATGCTGCATCTTCTGGTACACTGGTGCAGTGCAGGTCTGCATTTTACAACATGCAATGGGTGAGCCAGCTCTGATCCTATGCCCATGCTAGTTTTTGAACCCTAACTTTCCATATCATAAGTGACCCACAGCTATGGATCTTACCTAGTATAGTGGACTGATTGGTTTATTCAGATACAACAATAAAAACATTTGCACTACCCCCAAGGACTGGCATCTACAGTATCATGCCTTCATGGTAGACAAATGTCTATCACATGCGCAGTGGAACAGGTCAGTCCTATGGAAAAGGGTGTGAGTACATCTGGTAGACTACCTTCCTATGAATAAAAAAATCTATTCACAAATATTCCAGTTTCTTACAGACGCCATTTATTAGATATACAAGCTGATCTTTCCCAAAGGCCTACAGAATAGCCCAACATTGTAAAACTAAACAAATGAAAACAAAGTAGCAAGGAAATCAAGAGCTGGCATTCTATCATTCCATCCTCCTTGAGATTTTTTTTTCCTTTTCTGTTTTTGGGCACTGTGACTGTTCATCTGGGATCAATTCTCTGATTCTTGCCGTCTGCAAAAATCCTTGCTTATGGAACTTGCAAACTTCCTTCCATTCTCTCCTTCCGCATTAAATTGTATTGCAGGCTTCAATAGGAAATGGTAAGCCTTGAGCCAGCCACCCAAGAGAACTTTGGCAGCCACTCATTTTCCTTTGGCAATTATCATATCCTGGTATCTCCATTACCCAAAGCAGATCCTCTCTCTTAGTGTATGTCTTTTTGTCTGGTTCATATAGTTTAAAATATGCTGCTGTAATTTTATAATATAAAATAAATAAAGCTGTGAATGTAACCTTCTGGGTGTATACAACAATAATCCTCCTGTTTTCAATTCTATTCTGTTCATAATAAGGCTAGTAAAGAAAACTGCAGGCTAGCAACTTTTATGGGCTCATTTACAAGCTTGGTCAGTTCAAGCTTATTCATATTATAGAGACTTTGAATTCCAAATGCAAATATTTTATTCCACGGGGTATTAAAAAAAACTCATTACTAAAATAGATTTATTTAAAATGTTATTAAGATTAAGTAGCCTGAATAAAACACAGAATGTATAGAATTTTACATTTTCATTTGTTCATTGATAGACTAATAAGAATGTTACTTTGTTTGCATTCTTGAAACAGCTAAGGTAACTGGTACTTCATGAACTAACATGATTAAACTGCTCATACTTCAGACTGTGTACTTTTCTAAATTTTGCAGTACATTTATCAGATTTCAAAATGTGCATTTTAGTAGCTGCAAAAAAAAGGTACTTTAGGGGATCAGTTGTACAAACCACCATATTTTAGGGCAAAATTGAGTACAATTTAAATGCAAATCTTCATGCAGGATTTTCAAGTAAACAGGACAAAACAGAATTATGAGAGAAAATATGAAAACTGAAACAAATCAGGAAATTAAGTTCATTATCAATTCCTAAGTAATCTCTCATGCTACAGTACAAAATTAATAGAGCAATTGTCTACCTACCAGGAGTAAGCCCCAATGAATTGAATGAGGCTTATTTATGAGTTACTGGTACTTAGGTTACTGGTTTCTATTATGTAGAACTTGGTGGACAAACAGCTTCTCAGCTGTTTGGATAAGATTGAGTGCAGACTGATCAGATGAAGCTTCTGTGTGCTTTCTTTTAAAACAGGACTACCAATAAAGATTGTGAAGAATGCGCTCATGATGAGAGACTGCTAATTTTTAACAACTGGTCTTATCATACAGTAAGCAATATGGTAACTCTTACCATAAACCATGAAGAGTTTTGTACCACCTTAAAGATTAACAGGCTTTATTTGGCATAAGCTTTTATAGAGTCCACTACTTCATCACCCAGTGCAGTCCACAAATCCTTGCCAAATAAAACTTGTCAGCTGTTCAGGTGTGATCAGATCCTTGCTGGTTTTGTTTCAACAGACTAACCAGACATACATGTATGGTTTCATGTATGTATTCTCTCGCTTTGGATGGAATGTGGCAGCAGTGAGGGGCAAGACAGATGTCTGTCTTCTCACTGCTAAGCTGATCCTGTTAATACTGTATTAGAAACAAAAATTTAGATGAGAATTGTAGGTGTTTTTGCCTACGTAAAGTACTGCCTTCTCCCCTACCTTCCATGCTGAAGCACCCAGTCAGCCATGGAGATATCTGCACCCATGCACAAAATCCTATTAAATCAACTCTAGGTCAACTTTTTAGTGGGCTCCAAGATCAATTGTGATTTGCAGTATGATTATGGAATGAACAATGATATGATTTGCATTCCCACAAAAGAGAAACTTTTACCAGAAAGGTGTGCTAATAACTTGGGGTGGGGTGGGGAGAACAATGAATGTGTTTTAAGATCAGTTTTAGACACAAACTATTACTAAACAGCAACAGGTGCACCACTTTGCATATATTTGAGAGACCTACTTGTACAACATCTCTTTTCCATTATGTTCATTTGCTGTCTGGACTGTCTCCACTTTTGCCCTCCGTTTACCTCATATAACCTCCCAGAAAACAAAAGAAAGAAAAAAAAACGCACAAAATAAGTCAAGGCAAGTTATATACGCAGCACTGCAGTTACTTGAACATTTAAGACAGCTTCCTTTCTTTCCCATCTATTCCAAAGAAAAACAGAAGATTTTGAAAGAATAGAAGCAAGTCCAACATGCCCTTTAAACACACTCATGAGAAGAGAAGAGGAAGGTCCCTCCAGAGGACTTCTGAAACCTGAATCTGGGATCACAGACATTTATCATCATTTTTTGGAATCTTGTCTACAATTTTTCTGCACTATCCATTATTTTTAATGGTCCAATAAAAGGTTTTGCCCACTCTTACATTTGTGCAATCTTGGGGACCACACAGCTTTTTCCTTGTTCTTACTTTTTTGGATCACAGTCCCCACAATCACAGTCACCATGAAGGCTTCAGAATTCTGAAAGCTCTAATCTTTAAAAGAGTAACATTTCCAGGTTCTGGCTGTTCCACACACCTAGTATTTTTATCAGGCTCATCTGAGCTGTGAACTAGTGTTCTATCAGTGTAGGCATATCTGAGGCAATTCCATTTAAACAGGATGCCAAATATGTGCAATTGGTCATAGTTAGGTATGTCCTTTTCACTCTGTTGGTCTCACATTTAAATCAGGACTGAAATACATGGCACAAGATAGTTTAAAAATGATTTCCAATAATGATGGCATGAATCATTGTATTCAATTATACCAATGCTTTATTAAAAATAGAATAATCTGCCTCCTGAATGCTAGTTACTTCTCACCCAATGTAGCAACCACATTTTACAGTATATCCAGCCCAGCAGGCTTGCTTTAAAATAATTTGGCCAAGTTACTTCATATAGTTGCACAGCTT